ATGATGATGATGATGATGATGAGGAGGAGGGGGGGGAGGAGGAGGAGGAGGAGGAGGAGGAATACAGATATAGCAATACTGAGATATATGTGACCTATGACAAAGCTGAGATAGAGTAATAACTCCTTGTTTTGTTTTGTTTTATTTTTAATCTCTGAACAGCTTTTGAAACTACCAATCATGGTATCCTTCTGGACCAAATGCGAGAAGTAAGAGTGGGAGGCATAATGTTACATAGTTCTCCTTTCTCAGTGCCCAGTTGTAGTCAGTGTTGGTAGGAGGAGAAAGATGAAGCCTGAAGTCCCTGATATAGATTTTGAAGTGCCTCAGGGCTCAGCGTTTTCACCCCTTCTATTTAGCATCTACATGAGTTTACTATCTCAGGCCATCTATCAGTTCAAGCTCAGGTATCATCAGTACGCTGATATTATGCAGTTACACATCTCATCCACTGGCCAAAAAAGCAATTCTGTTAAAATCACATCACAGTGCAAGGAAGTTGTGAGTGTCTGGATGGGAAAGAATGGTTTCAGTTTCAACCCTACCAAGCCTGATTGGCAATGGGTGTTTGAGTCTCCTGGAAGTAGAGATCTTCTATCCCTGACCCCAAATAATATTATATTATACAGCTTGGGTCCAATGTGCAATCTGGGTGTTGTCCTGGACTCACGGCTCCTGCCTGAAGAGAAGATGGTAGCTGTGGCTAGGTATGCTTTCACAAAGGCTTACTTTGTGTGCAGTAGCATGTTTTTCTGGACTAGAAGACCCTTCTTATGGTCACCCATGCCTTGGTCACCTTATGGTGGAGTATTGCAATGCAATCTCCATGGGGCTTCCTTAAAAACCATTCAGAAGCTGTAACTGTTACAGAATATAGCAACCACAGTTAGTGACAGGTGGGCTTTCCCATGCCTATGTAACACTCATGCTCCACTGATTACATCTGATTGGCTTCCAGATGTAATTCAAGGTGCTGGTTTTTCATCTTTGCAGCCCTACATGACAGCCCTATTTATTGGAAAGCCTTTCTGTCTCCCATGGCTTTTGGCTGCCCTGTAATTTCTGGCACAACTGGCTTATTCCTGATCCCATCAATTAAACAGTCATCTAGTGGGATCAAGGAGGTAGTCCTTCTCTGTCATGTCACCTGCACTCTGGAACAGTATCCCCATAGAGATCCACTTAGCCCCTATCTTGCCAGTCATTAAAGGAGAATTAAAAATATTTTTTTCCTTTTTTTCTGTTTTTACCTCCAAGGTCCTTTTTTTCTGTTTTTACCTCCAAGGGTAAAGGACAAAATTAGTTTT